ATCCTGGCTTCACTCAGCTCAGCTCCCCACTGCTTCCAGTTCAGGGCTGGAGTTACTGCAGATGGTATGGGGCACTGTCCTCTGAAGGGTAAAATCCTTCAGGTTCACTTTGATCAGCAGATCATTGGGTAATGCGAGTCTCAAGCAATTGAGAAGCTAAGAGGGAGCAGCTACTGGTGGAGTGCAATAGTCCCATAGAAGCTGGAGTCTGACATGGCTGTGAACACATGTGAAAGTGAGGATTTGACTTTACCAGCATGGTCCAAGCTGGATTTCCCTATGTTCTCAGTTACTTACTAGGACCATGGCAAGGCCAGTGTAAATGGTGCACTGGCACCAGAAGCCCGTGCCATATGGAAGTAACATTTTGTCACAACAGCAAACCTGCCAGTTTAATCCTAAAACAACAAGAAGGCAGGGACTGGGTTTGATGTAGAGCTGTTGTAGGAAGTTTGTGATGCTCTGCACACAGCGAAGTCTCTTACCAGGTGTCTTTTCAATGCATTGTGTTGACAAGTAGCACACCCAGTGTCACTCCCCCGTGCATGACTGTATGCAGTGTGCAAGGGCATAGAGTATGTAGCTACTACTGAAAAAAAAACAAACAAAAAAAAAAACAAAAACACACACACACACACCAACAACTGCTGACCCAATTTTCCCCAGTGGGCGAGCATTGGTAGGAGTTGTGCAGACTTTGTCTTGGCCTCATGCCTGGTGTCCTGCCACCACAGAGCTCCAGGGAGACAAGGGGCTGGTTTGTTCTTGCCTAGCCTTGCTGGTGGCAAGGAGACATGGTACATCTCCATCCTGGGTCCTCCTCTGGGACCTGGGCTCACCCCTGTCTGATGCTTCTCTACTCAAGATGTGGGTCAGCAAGCACCTTTAAGGGATAGGTAACCAGCCACCTTTGTCCCCTTCCATACATCAGACTAACCTAGAGACCTTGCCCTGCCCCATCTGGCTGCAGGAGCCAGCCCAGTTCAGCTGTGTGGGATGCACAGGGTCTCCTTGTCACATCTTTGCAGCAGCTCTGGGCACAGGGAAGGAATGGAGCTGGTAACCGCCCCCAGACACAGGCCACACCACAGGAGCTATGCTAGCTAGAGGCTGGGGCAGGCTGAAGCACCTTGCTACTGAAGGTGGCAAGCCTAGGAGTGCCTAGGAGCACTGGCTGGGCAGCAATGAGAGCCACTTGCAGATGGCCAGGCTCAGACACCACTCAGTCTTCCCCTCCAGGCATCTCTGCTCCTCCAACAGGTCACGCCATGCATGGGTACCATCCCCACAAGCAGCTTCTCCTCAGGGGTGCTCCAAATCCTTGGATCCTCCAGTCCTCAACAGGAAGGGGACTAGTTTTCTGGCACCCTGAAGTGGGGAAGGCTGGGCTACCCAGACCTCAGTGTAGCCCCATATCCTAATTTTTAACTTCACCTGTATTTCTTGCTACGGAGAGGTACTGCTCTCTTGCATAGAGCGCTACCCCTCTCTGGAGGCTGATGTTGGCTTCAAAGATAAGCTGCTTGAAATCCTCTGGGCCAAGCCAGAGGGACGCAAGCATGGGCATTTACTGCAAGCCACCACACCAAGGGGAGGAGCTGGATCTGGGTGAATTCAATTACCCAGACAGACTGGGAGGAACACTGCTAGGTTGGACTGGTCGTGTAGCTTCTTAACACTGAAGGAGGAGCTCTTCCTGCCCCAGGCAGTGCAAGGGCCAGCCAGAGGTACCGCTCTCCTAGACTTGGCCAACAGAAGTGACCTGGTGTGTGGCTTGAACACTGAAGGTAGCCTGGGCGACAGCAGCCATGAGTTCAACCAGGTTCACTGTCCGCCGCAAGGTTAAAACAGGTCAACCAACAGGATTGAAGTCCTGGACTTCAAAAATGCTAATTTCAACAGGCTCAGGCCTACCCTGGAGGTTTTCAAGAGGAGACTGGACCGTCGCCTCGCTGGGGTCACCTACCCCCAGTCATCTTCCTGCCTAGAGAAGGAGGGGCTGGACCCACTGATCTGCAGAGTCCCTTCCAGCCCCTTCCCATCTCTGAACCTACACATGTCCCATGCCTCACTGATGTTTCTAGGCCTAGCATCTATATTCTCACATCCAGCAATTCTCTATTGTCACATCTGGTCTTTACCTATTATCATATCCATGTTATCACAACTCAATGATTCTGCTCCTCACTAGGGTCACTCATCTTTGTCACCCTCAACTGGGCCACTTACATTCACCAGGGAGGTAGCTGGCCTGGTATCTCTTGGGGACTCCCACCAGCCAACCCTTCCCCAGCAGGATGCAGTTTCCAATCATACCCAGGACCAGGAGCCTCCAAACCATCCCCAGAGCTCCTGCCCTTACCTCCAAGGTGCTCCAGGAACAGCTCAACCACATGTTACCTCCTTGCCAACCCAACTCAGACTACTACTTCTGCATCTGAGGGCCTGGTTAAAAGGCAGATGGCTCCGCCCCCTCAGCCAATCCCAAGGGTCCTTCTAGGGTCATGTGCTAGCCTTGATGAGGCTAGCACCCACCTGCGGGCTGCCCCACTGCCAGCTAGAAACCTTAAAGTGGCAGGCACTGCCACACCGTACCTGCTCAGTGCTGACATACACGATAGACAGATACCATGTTTCTTCGTGTGATGTTTCACTTTTCTTGATATCTTGAAATAGTACTTACCAAGCTTTGTTCTGTTTGGGTGTAGTGTCATTTTGCTCATGTTTTGTACTCAAGGTAGTCCCATATTATATCATACAAAAAAAAAAGCAAATAATACATAAAAAACTATGTTACTCAGTAGCACATGGTGGGGGCTCTGCACATGACCTGCACCAGGCATTAAAATACCTGATTCCAGTTCTGCTTGGGGAGAGAAGCAGCTATTTCCCCTTTCTATTTGGAGCAAGTGATGCTAGCTGCCCACCACTCAGGGCCTGATTCTTTTCCACCAAATAGGGGCCTGTGTGGATTTGCCTGCCTATATGTGCTGCTTTCCCCTTCTGCTCAAATCCCTGAAAAAACACATTGGTACATTTACTTTTCAAACATACCATCCTCTTTGTCTGAAGACTAAGGAGTCAATGCTCCAAAGGGGAAAGGCCTGGAAGAAGCAACTCAACTCTGGGAAAGGGTAAGAGAGCCACAGGACAGCTACAAGGGGTGAGAAAGGGTCCAACTGCAAAACAGATCCAATGTATGTGCACAAAAATAAAAATGTACTTTGGCCATTTTCAAGAGGCCTAGGACAAGCTGCAGAATAGCAGCTAAAGCAAAAGGCCCCAAAGCCTGTTTCTGAGTTCTCCCAACCTTTGCAGATGTGACAACCAGCTTGGCCAGCAAAATAAAAGCAGCAATCAAGATGCCAGCTAGACCAGCAAGATTAAATAGAGAACAAGGCTAGAAAGGAGATAATATGCAAGAAGATAGCTAAATCAGATCATCTAAACACACTGTATCATAGCTCCAGCTGAAACGTACTGAATAGTAATGATTAAAGAAACAAACTGTTTTAGACATAGTTTTGCTATACGGGATATATATATATTTTTTGTTCAGTTTCTGAAACAAGTTGTAAACCAAAGCAGCCTTTTCAGTAAAAACCGTAAACGGAGGTGAAGAGACAACAGGATTGGTGGGAAGCAGCATCCCATGATGCTTCTGCTTTCCCAAGGAAACAAATGCCAAGTAACTGGCTCTTTCCAGGGCCACAAGCGATCCGGTTCAGCCCAGTCCCAAAAGTTTCAGTGGAAAAAAAAAAAGTAAATAAAACCAATCAGCAAACATTTATTAGAAAATTAGAATAAGCCATTTATAAATATAGGATGTAGGCTGGCAAGGTTCAGGGTAGAAGATAGGTAACACTTTCCTGGCCAGAAATATCATCACTGTACCTCACGAGCTTCCCAGTAGGGACACTGGGACCTACGAGAAGGACACACTCGTCCCCCCAGGACTGCCACAGAGGATGGAGCCAGGAGACCCGTGGCGTTCATTGGGGAGTTCAGTCCGACCTCGCTGTGTTGTGTGTTAGACCTCTTTTTGAAGTCCTACCTGTTCCCCACAGCTCTGCCTCCCTGGGCTCCCTTTATCGAGAGGTGATGAGTAGTAGAGCCAGGTCCTGAGATAACTCCCTCCAGCATAGCAGCGTAGGGGGGAGCTCCCTTTCTGCCCCTATCAAACCTCACAGTCTGGCCTTTGGGCCTAGTGGGTCCTGAGATGCCTGCTGATGGATGAGAGCAGGGTGAATCTCTGCCCACCCTTGGTAGAGAGGACTGGCCCTTCACCCAAGTCCAGCCGCTGACGGAGGTGCTCCCAAACCCTTCCAGCACCGCGGGCACGACTACGACTGCTCCTGCATGAGGAGGCGCCAGTGCCGGGTCAGATGCACCTGGCGCTGGAAGCTCTTGCCGCAGTGGGTGCACAGGTACGGCCTCTCCCCAGTGTGGATGCGCCGGTGCTGGGCCAGGTTGTAGGAGAGGGTGAAGCTCTTCCCGCAGTCTGGGCAGCAGTAGGGCCTCTCCCCAGTGTGCACGCGCTGGTGCGTGGTGAGGTTGGAGCGGGTCACGAAGGTCTTGCCGCACTCCTCGCAGCGGTGGGGACGCTCCCCGGAGTGGATCTTGCGGTGGGTAGCCAGGTACCCGAGGCTGCTGAAGCTCTTCCCGCACTTGGTGCACAGGTACGGCTTCTCCCCCGTGTGCACGCGCTGGTGCTGGACCAGGTCTCCGCGGCGCACGAAGCTCTTCCCGCACTCCCCGCAGCTGTGCGGCTTCTCCCCCGAATGGATGTGCCGGTGCTGGGTGAGGTGGCCGGGTTGAGCAAAGCACTTCCCGCACTCTCCGCACCTATGTGGCTTCTCCCCCGAGTGGACGTGCTGGTGCCGGGCCAAGCTGCAGGAGTGCGCGAAGCTCTTCCCGCATTCGCCGCACTGGTGTGGCCGCACTCCCGAGTGCACGCGCCGGTGGAGGAAAAGGCTGGAAGAGTGTTTGAAGGTCTTCCCGCACTCTCCGCAGCGGTGCGGCCGGTCCCCCGTGTGCACGGTGCGGTGCTTGGCCAGGATGGAGAGGAACACAAAGCTCTTCCCGCAGTCGGGGCAGTGGTGGGGGCGCTCCCTGGAGTGGATCTTGCGGTGGGCGGCCAGTTTTGAGAGGCAGGCGAAGCTCTTTCCGCAGTCGGCGCAGAGGTGCGGCTCCTCCCCGGTGCGTGCTCCACCAGGCAGGGCCTTCGCTCCTGCTTTCCCTGGGGACGTCTTCAGCTGCTTCAAGTTGGCGGGCCCTTCCTCTGGAGGCTGCTCCTCAGCTCCGCTCAGTGTCCCTGCACCTGCTGAGCAGGGAAGAGAGCCCAGAAATAAGTCCCCGTCCCTTTGGTCAAGGACAAATACAGCTTTTGCCCTGTTCTAGGATGCACCTTAGAGCAAGGGAAGAGCCTGGCACTTTTTTTCTTCAGCAGAAATAAGAGGTCTAGCTTTCAAGTCCCTGAGTGATGAGTGGAAGGGGCAGGCCAGTGTGACATGCTACTAAAGTTGGTCCCAAGTCAGTCCATACACAGTGTTACTGCACATTAGTGTCTACACGTGCATTACTGTACAGTAACTAATTGGGCATAAATATGATACCTGCTTGATGCAGGTATCAAATTTATGCTCAAGTCGGCATAAGTCACCATATTTACTGTGCAGTATGGGTGTGCATATGTGGACATGCACCTGTATTGCACAGTCATTTCAGTTACTGTGCAGTAAATGCTCACATGTAGACGTGCCCACAGTGTGCTAAAGTCCTTGGTATTAACCTTCAGATAGACTTTTCATATCCTATGGCTTGTGACATTCAGGAGACTGTGTAACTTCCCTGCAGGCAGGCTTCCCCCGCCAGGGCTGAGGTCCCCTGCCAAGGTGCCTGGGGTTTAATCTCTGGGGAGGAGGGACAATAGGAGACTTTGCACATGGGATGGATTTTGAACATCTCTGAGAAGAGAGAGAGGGCACAGAGGACATTGCCATGGCTAATCTGGGAACCGGTTCTCAAGACCATGAGTTTTCTCTTGGGTCCTTATCAGAAACCGAGAGCTCCAGTTCCCCTTGCTATATGCAAAAAGATTCAGCCCAGTGTGATACCTTGATACTCTGTTTGGGGGAGTGCATAAAGTCTGGTTAGGTTTGCTTACTGTCAATCCAATACCCAGCTGGATCTTGGGTGAACAGAGCCAATAGACTCAAGCTTTTATGGGGCCCTTGAAGGAAAAGGGAAGATGAAGCAAAGATGAAACAGAAGGCCCTAGAGACAGACACCTGCAACATCAGGTAAGTAGAAGGATCTTCATATAAAATATAAAAGCATCAAGCACTCCGGGATATAAAAAAGGTATAAAATTGATAGGAGCACCATGGAAGGTGGACAGAGATACAATGATCTGTGATGTACCGGAAAGAAGAAAAATCTTTTATATATTATATCGAGCTATCAGATTGAAAAGATAGATTGTGAACACGCCAATCAATATCATTATTAGGACAAAATACTGATAAATGGGTTTATTCTCAATGAGAGTTAGTAGTGATAAACTTTGTAAGTGAAGAGAAGCAATGACAGATGGGGGGCAATCAAACTTTTGTCACGGGAGAGAAAGCACATCCTGTCAAGAGTGCATAGGAAACAATGAGATAAAAACGTAGCTACTAGTATCTGGTTTCCATCCTGTGTTGAACTGTCATTACAGGATGACTTGAGGAACTAGAAAAGCTATGGGCTGAAACAGTAGATGCTGATAAGTCTTCGATTAAAGGGCATTAGCACTGAAAAGTCTGTGCTGAAATGTGCAAACACTTCACAAAAAATGATTGAAAAGGTAACAAGGCATAAGACGAATGTACTACGCAACCGCCCTTGGTGAATATGAATAAGGCACTGGGGGAGAGTATGGACATGCTGGCAGGGCAAAGAGAGATATCACAATATTGCATGCAATATCGCACTATTGATGCTGAATCTGGAAGCACCACGAGACAGACCAAGCGGAAGACCTGAGTGAAATCATCTGGAAGAAATAAAGGATGTACAAATTTTAAAAATTGAGGAGCCAGATCAGTGACAAACACTGGGAGGGGCATATAAACCGCCAGCCAAAAGTTCATGAAGCTAAGACTGTAGAAGACCAGCAAAGGGAGTGGCACGGACACTGTTCTGCTGAGCGAACAGGATGTTTGCCCACTTTAGGCCATGCCAGCTGAGAGCTCAGGCAGCTGCACCTGCTCATATATTCTGGGCAGGTCTACAGGTGCATTGATGCCAGCTTAAATTTGCTGCACAGTAAATTACAGCGCAGTAATCAGGAATAGGATGGTCTCTACACGTGCAGGCATTAAAGCGCATTAACGCTGTGTGTGGACTGTGCAGTAATTAACTGGGTGTAAATTTGATACCTGCGTGATGCAGCTATCACATTTATGACCAAGTCAGCAGAAGTAGCCGTATTTACTGCATGGTACGGGCATGCATGTGTAGATACCACTCATACTGTGCAGTAATTTTGGTTACTGAGCAGTAAATGTTCACCTGCATCTGCAATGAGGATGCTGCCATCATAACTACACCAGCAGAGACTCTGTAGCGTAGGCAGCCTGCGGAAGCTGTTTTCATGGCTGTGACTCACAGGGAGGACCCCCTGCCTGGGAAAGGGCACCCCAAGAATTTATCCTTCTCCACCAGACACATGCCTAGGAACTCCAGGGCCTTGCAAGGTGGTGTCAGGAGTCTCCCCTTATTTCCCATGGAGCTCGGAAGGGCCTAGAGTCGAGGAGGGGGACTTACCGCCCCAGTACAACACGGGAACCTTTCTGCTGGTGTCCCACCTGAGCAGGGGCTGCTGCAGCCATCCCTGATGTATCTGCCAGTGGAGTGGAAATGAAAGGTGGGGCAAGAAGGGGGAATGTGGATTCCCAGTGGCCTGGGATGAGTTGGGGGAGGTGGGATTCAGTGCAAAAAATCAGTCTGGAAACAGGAAAAGAAAGGAGCTGATGGTCCATTCACAGAGACGACACTATGAATCCAAATGTTGTGATCCACTTCAGCACAGATTACGCATCTGGGGATGTAGGGGCACCCTCCAGGCCAGAACATATCAGTCCTGGGGATGTCTTGGGTAGATGCCGGTGAAAGGAGACTAGGACCAAGATGCGTTTCACCTGCTGGGGGGTTGTTCCTACATAGGCTTATCCACCAGCAGTCAGGCACGCTGCTCACTCCTGGAAAACTGCCTGTCCATGAGGCTGTCCAGCACTGGCTGGGTTGGAGGAGCCCTGCTGGGATTCGGTACAGACACCATCTGTTCTCACCAGAGCTAGCTGCTTCGGGGGCCACCTGGCTGGGCTCAGCTGCAGAGACCTCTGCCCCATGCTCCCTTGGGCTGGCTGGGTGCTATAGAGTACCCAGAAAGGATCTTTCTTGGGCCCCTCAGTCTGAAAACATGTATAGGAGCATGCCTTAGAGGCAACTAAGGCATTGCTTAGAGAGGTGGGAAGCCTTACAGGCTTGGCTTCCACGGTTATTTGTTTACGGTGGTGAGCTTCTTGCCCCATTCCCCACTCCCAGGGCCTCTCCACCAGCTCAATTTGAACACATCTCTCTCCAATGAAGACTCGTCTTGCTGCTCTTCAGGTCTCTCAGCTCTTCTAATTCTTCCTTGTACCCCTGGCTCCTCTTGGACTACTGCCCCAGCTGCACCCCTACACCCAGCAAGAGCCACTGTCTTGTTCACTGGCATGTTCTCCCTTTGTTTTTTGGGCCTCCCTTCAAATTGGCCCTGCTCAGGTCTCTGCCCTTATCTCTCTGGGGACATCTTCAACATCTTCTGGCTTGCAGGCCCTTCTTCGGGCTTCACTCAGGGCCCCAGCACCTGCTGGGTGTGGGGAAGGGCAAGAGAATCCACAGATTTGAGAATAGCATGGGGGATAAAGAGAAAGCACTGCTCTTTTCAGGTGACGGCATGCACCTAAAACAGCCCCAGGCCACAGCATGTGAGAGAGGAGAGAGAAGGACAAGTCAAATCCCACAGCTCTTCTCTTGTCCATGAAGTCAGAGATGAGCCCCAATGAGTACAACATCATGTTACAAGTGCACAGCATCGCTCTTGAGGGGAAGAAATGAAGGTGCAAGAAATTCTGAAGTACAGCAATATTGTGCATTAGGTAATGGGATGTTTTATCACCAAGTACATGCACAACCATCTTCCAGAAAACCAAGGTTTAAGCCGAGAGAGACAGGACTCTATATTATCTGAGAACTGAAGTACTGAGATTCAGGGGGTGGAGGAAATGAAGGTAGGAGAGACAGGTATTTTGCTAGGATGAGCTAGGTGCCAGCATGGGGCAGCCAGAAACTCTTTTGCGAAACCAGTTATGGATATTTGGATCAAGTGCTTGTAACTGTGTGGGCACAGTTATTAAGTCGGCCTGTAACACTCTGATCTAACACAGAGATAGTATTTTGGAGCATTCATTTAAAGTAACGGCCTAACTGCTCTTGGCATTTGGGTTTAATAAAGGCCCGATAGCTGAATTACTGACATTGTCAATCAAATTCCAATAGGGGACCCTGGCGCAGGGTCAGGCTCCACATTTTAAAGGGAGGGGGCAGAGAAAATCCAGGACCACCTCTCCAGGGCATTAAAAAGTTTTCTAGGAGGGTCATCAGGAGAAGAGGAAAAGCCAATCTGCTGGAGCCTCATTCCTTAACAAAACACTAGGTGTATCTACACGTGCACATTTAATGTGCACTAGCCCAATTTAAGGTGCATTAAGGGTGCGAGTACACACCTTTAATACATCTTAAAAGGGTGATTTTAGGCTGTTTGAGCTTAAATTTGATACCTGCATAAACCATCAGCGAACATGTAGACGCGCTAATGCACATTAATGCGGGGTGTGTCCACTGACTTGGGACTAATCTTAGTGCACCTTAGTGCATGCATGTGTAGACACGCACCTAAATTGCTTTAATGCACATTATACTAATGTGCCTAAAGTTTAGATGTGGAAAAGCCCGTGTAGACGCACCCACTTGGGGGGAGTTTTCTGCGGATGTATGATGCCTCCTGCTGCTGGAAAGGTCAGAACTGCTGCTTCTTACCTGCTCCTGGGGAAGGGTCTTGTCTGGGGAACCAACCCATGGAGCTCTCATCTGCGGATGAGTCCCAGGTCTCCTCTGTGTTGGAGAAACCTGCGGCAAGAGACAGGCCTGGGCTTAACGGTACATGAACGAGTCAAAAGTGGCTGGGAAAAGCCATGTCCATGACACCTGCATCGGCCAAGTCTTGGGCACAGAGAACTCACAGCGGGCATGAGAGGAGCAACTAGGACTCGATCATTGATTTTTACTTTGGCAGCGCTATGAGGCCAGGCAAGGGACAGGGGCTTAGGCAAGCAAGAAGGTGCTTGCTTCTGTCACACCAGAAATGCCCAATGCAAGATCAGGGCCCCGTCACCCCACAAACTCGCAGTGAGAGATGTGAATCCCTCACTCCTGGTGCTCAACAGGCACGGGCACCAACGTTAGGGCCTCATAATAGCTCTACCCAAAGCTAGTATGGGTCCTTTAGGTACATACTGCCCAAAATCCAGCTTGTTACCTGACTCCTCATGGGGCAGGGGCTCCTCTTTGGGGACATGAGGCAGCTCATCCTGGACCCCTGGGGTTTCACCCCATCCTGCCTCCTCCTGGGGCATGTGAGCAGGATTGGGCTGTGGCTGCTCTGGCCAGGAATCAAGAGGTTCCCACAATGCCCCAGTGGGTGCCATCTTGTCCGAGGACACGTCTTCAACCTTTACACACACTGTGACCTGGGGACAAGGCAAGAAAGTTACTGGGGAGCTGGAACCGGGAGAAATGGGGGTGAATCTGAACATCACCCGGTTTGGAGATGGGAGCAGCGGTATTGATGCTGGGGGGGTAAAATGCTCTCACCTGGAGCTTCTCATCCTCCGCCTGCCCCAGCTGAAACCCCTCGGCCAGGGCCACCGCCTCAGCGCAGGTCTCCACGCCAAGTCCCCACTCCCAGCTCGGCATCTCCTGGGGCAGGATGGCCAGGAACTGCTCGAGCACCACCAGCTCCAGGATCTGCTCCTTGCTGCGGTGCTGGGGCTCCAGCCAGCGCTGGCACAGCTCCCGCAGGCGGCTGCACACCTCCCGCGGCCCCTCGGCCGCCTGGTAGCAAAAGCCCCGGAAGCGCCGGCGCCACATCTCTGGGGTGGGGACCTCGCCTCCCGGGGCCAGCTCTGGCAGCTGCAGGGTCACTGTGTCCATCCCAACCTTGGCAGGAAGATGCTGGGGCTGCATCCCTTCCTGCCACTGTCCTTCCCCGTGGTGGGCTGGCTCCTCCTGTGGCTCTTGCTTGACCTGTTGCAGCTCCTCCCAGCTCACGGTCTCCTGACCAGTCCCAGCCTCAATGACACGAGGGACGTTCCCTGCCCCTTCAGCTCCTGCCACAGGCTCTGGTGGACCTGCTGAGTCCTGTTCCTCCATCTTCACCGAGGGCTGCACCAGTGCTGGCAACAGGAGGCTCAGGGCCGGTGCTGGACCTAGCTTGGCTGCCATCCTGCGTGCTGGTGAAGCTCGGGGGCCTGGACTCTCGCTCTCCCACCGCTTGTGCACGGAGCCTGTTGGCAGCACCGTGTCTCTGGGGCCGTCTGTGGGAAAGCAGAGATTTGGCTTTTAAAGTGTGATGGAGGAGCCAGGATCATGGCCCACCTGCTTCTCACCCATAAAAATGGCTTTGCAATTGTCCCTCCCTGTCTTGCAACATGGCACTGGCAGGAGGCTGGATCCCAAAACACGGCTTTGTTGGTCACGGGAAGCAGCCCCGGTGAGGGTCCTTGGGCTCTACCATGAACACCCTGCCTGAGTTACATGAAGCCCCCTCCCCAACACACACACACGTCAGTGCCAGGTCACACACAAGTCAGTGCCAAGTCACACGATCAGAGGATCGGAGGAAAGTAGGGCTGGAAGGTATCTAGGCATCTACTCCAGCCCTTTGCTCATGGTAGTATTTTCCCTGATTAAACCATCCCGTCCAAGTGTACCCTGCTCTTGAAAACTTCCAAGGATGGAGATGCCACCACTTCTCCAGGTAGCCTGTTTCGGTGCTTGACCATCCTCATCATCAGAAAGTTCTCCTAGCTCCAGCCTAAATTTCTCCTGCTGCAGCCTGAAGTCATTGCTCCTAGCCCCAGCCCTTACACTCACAGGGAAAAGCCCATCTCCAGCTTCTCTATAATCACCCTTCAGTTATTTGAAGACTGTTATCAAATCCCACCCGAGGCTTCTCTTCTCCTGGCTAAATCACCCTAGTTATTCAGCCGTTCCTCATAAGTCTCATTTCCCAGGCCCCTGATGATTTTGGTTCCCCTGCACTGGCCAGTTTCCAAACTGTCCATGACCATTTTGAAGTGTGGAGTCCAAAACTGGACGCAATACTCCAGGTGAAGCTTCACCTACGCTGAATGGACTGGGAGAATCACTTCCCCTGATCTGCAAGTTAATACAACCCAGGATGCTGTTGGCTTTTTTGCAACAAGAGTGCACTGTCGGCTCATCTTATGCTTACGATACCCCATAACTCCCGGGTCCTTCTCTGCACAACTGCAACCAAGCCAGTCATTTCCCAGTCTGTATTTGTGCATGCAATTATTACTGAATCTCATCTGATTGATTGAAGACCATTTATCCAGGCTGTGCAGGTCGTTGTGGATCCTAGCCCTGCCCTCCACAGTGTGCGCACTTCTGCCCACCTTGGAATCACCTACAAATTTGAAAAGCGTGCACTTGAACCCATCCTCTGAATCATTAATGCAGATGTTAAACAATTCCTGACCCAGTATGGACTCCCAGGGAATCCCATTTGATTCCTCCTTCCAGCTAGACATGGAGCTATTGAGGCCTACTTGAAGAGCAGCATGATACAACCAGCTCTGTATGGACATTACAATGCTTTCATCCAGTTTGTATTTTCTTAGCTTGCTAAAGAGAGTATTGTGGGAGAGAGCAGCAAAAGTCTTGCTAAAGTCATGGCATACCATGTCCACTGCTCTCCTCTCACCCACAGACACAGTCATAAAAAGAAATCAGATCGGTCCGGCATGACTTGCTCTTGGTGAATAGTGCCGAACCTAAAGTGCTGGTGGCCCCGGGTGAACTTTTAGTATCAGGCCCCCCTTTACCAGAGATGATTTTTTTTCTTGCAGGAATCTTTATCTTTGGTATCAATGTCTTTAAATAGTTCATTCTCAATTGATAGCATTGCCACTCCCACTTATGTGCAATATTAAAACTTCTTTTTTGCAATTTTAATTTTTTTTTTTCATTTTCAGGTCCCCTTTCTGTCCAGCACCCAGTTCATCCATGCCTGTGTCTGGGTCTGAGTGAATAAATGCTGACTCTCCCTCATCACCTTGTTCTCCTCTAGGTGCTTCACAGTAGATTCCTTGAAGATGTGCTCTATGATCTTTCCAGTTACTGAGGTCAGGCTGACTGGTCTATAGTTTCCCAGATCCTCCTTCCCTTTCTTAAAGATGAGCAATATATTTGCCCTTTTCCCATCCTTTGGGACCTCACCCAACTTTAATGAGTTCTCAAAGATGATAGCCAATGGCTCTCAAATTCCCTCGGCCAATTCTTTCCAGCAAGTACCCTTGGGTGCATCCCATCTGAGCCTGCTGACTTGATTTGAATCTTTCTGCATCACACCTAAGCTCCAGGAGTCTGGTTGCAAGCAACGGCCTCCGAGAGCACCCGGCCCGAGCAGCCTGAACCCCGAGAGCCACAGCAGGCAGGAGGCCAGGCAGGATCACTCCATAATCTTTCCAGATACCGAGGTCAGACTGGCCCAAGTGGCCTGACAGCAGGCAGGAGGCCGGCCAGGAGCACTCCCATCCCCGTGCCTCCAAACAGCAGCCAGTACTCTAGGCTTTGTCTCCTCTCTGCTGCCTACTGCCCTCATCCTCTGCCCCTAGATGTGCAAAAAGAAGTATAAAAGGTATTAAATGCTATAATTTGCCTTTGAACTGTCTGTGACTAGATTGTACTCCCCATTCCCCAAGTGACCTATAACATCTTTGGTCTTCCTCTTCTTGCCATGCCTGCAGAATCCCACCCCCCCCCTTCCCTTTTTTTTTTTTTTTTTTAATATATTTTGTATTCCCGACCAGATTAGCCAAATCAGTTCCCAATCGTATCAATTGAGCAGAACTCAGTCATGCCAAAAACCATCTCATTTGAGCAGGCAGAACTCCATCGTTCCAAGCATCACATCTGACGCTACAACCGGCGAGCATCCTCCATCCCAGACCCATCACCCTAGGACTTCAGATGCTCCTAAATCCTTTGGCAGGCATCCTACGTGCAGGCTCAAGCCCAAAGGTCTTGGGGTTCGGATGCCCCCAGATACTACAGGCAAGCATCCTCCATCATCGGGGACTTCAGATACTCCCTACACTTGTTCCTAGACCGCAAGAGGCCGAACAGAATCCCTTTTTACTGCCTTTTATGTCCCTTGCCAGCTGCATCTCAAATTGTGCCTCGGCCTTCCTCCCTGCCTGTCCTCACATGACTCTTTATTTGCCCCTCGTTTCCACTTTTTGTAGGAGTCCTTTTTGAGCTTCGTCTCACTGAAGAAATGGCTGTTATCAGGTAATCCTGAACACCCCCAACTCCTTTTGGCTGTGCTGGGTGGGTCACTACCTCCCTCCTCCCAGGTCTTCTGATCCCAGAAGACGTTCAGTCTGAATCGCCAGGTTTAGCATGTGAGAGAAGCCATGTAAGGGCAGTTTCAAGGGGCCTGAGATGCCTAGGCCAGGGCAGGCTAATGCTAAAGTTGATGAACTCTTTGGGTGGAGGCGATATCTTTTATTAGACCAACTAAACAGATGCAATTTTTTTTCTTTGCAAGCTTTCGGGCTCAAAAGCTTGCAAAGAAAAACAAATTTTGCAACTATTTAGTAAGAGCGGTCACAGACCAGGATGCATTTCCCCAGCTCCCTGCAGAACCGGCCAAGGGATCCTTCTCTCAAAGGAAAGGGAGCGGGGATACAGAAATCTGAACCTGAGCTGTATAAAAGGAGAGAGGTGGCAGTCTGGGTCTTGCCTCAAACCCTGAGGACATATTTTGAGAGGCCTGAGACCTCACCACCGGTAGTGAGTATGTCTGTGTATTCTCTGCTGCTCTGGGTAATATTGTCTGATGGATAACACCCCAATCAACGGGCTCAGAGGAACTTGCTTTGGCTTTTCTTGTCCTTATCTGGAGAAAGTCAAAGCTCCCAGAGACATCTGGGTGTAACAGGAGGCAGGTGGCCTCCTGCTGCCCTTTCCATTGCTCTGTTGCATTTCGGGTGGCCATCATCGAGGACACGCCGGTTTTCCGCTACTCTGTCCTCTATTGATATGAAACCAGATGCTTTTATGTCCTCTAGCTTTGGCAGGGTCTGTTAGCAGCAGGTTCAGGAGCTGATGCCATTCCCTTGTGCAATACAGCCCATCATTCACCCAAGCTCCCACCCAGGACACATGGACCCCCATGACCCCCTTGCCATCCACACGGACCCCCACGACCCCCTTACCATCCATACAGGCCCCTCCTGACTCTCAGCCCAGCCTGAGGCAGGGCAGATTTCCGCCTTACAGACTAAACCAGACAGAAACGTAGTGTCAGCTTCCCTGAGCTGGAGCTGGAGCTGGAGCTGGAGCTGGAGCTGGAGCTGGCCGCAGCAGAGGACGTGCGGGCCGTGGCGGGTGGGATGGAGAGAGTGGGTGGATGCAAAAGGGATGCTGTGGCACAAGCTCTTCGGTGGGCTAGGGCTGGCTGCAGCAAAGGCCTGAAAGGAGGTGGCGAGCCTGCATAGGGAGGCAGAGGCTGGGACACAAAGGCCGGAGGGAGAGGGGGAAGGGGAAGGGGAAGGGGAGGGAGGCTCTGCCTGACCAGCCGAGAGGCCCAGGGAACAAAGGAGTCAGCATCCCGCGTCCTTGCTGAGACCCCGGCTTGTCCAGCCCTGCACACCCTGCCCCATGCAGCACCCCCGCTACCCCAGACCCACACCGCCCCCCACCACCTGCAGCCCCACAGCTTGCTCTGGCCTCAGCCCCCATCCCCATCCCCATCCCCCAAGGCAGGCAGGACCTCCTGCATCCTACAGGGCTCTGGCTCCCCAAGGCCACCCCTAGCTCCAGACACCCCCCCCCCGCTCTGCCTCCCGCAACCCCTGCTCCCC